GTCTGCTTGACAGGAATATTTCTATACAGTTATGCAGTTATCCAGAGATACCATAAGATTTTAGTTTTCGGAGTAGTTTGTCGTGTACCACTGAATCAAAGGCTTTACAGAAGTCTATGTAGATTGCATCTATTGCTTTGCCCTGATCGAGTTGTGTAGTCCATATGTTTTTGCAGTGTAAGAGTTGCAGTTTACAGGATAGTTTTTTCCTGAAACCAAATTGTTTATTAGAGAGTAGGTTGTTTGTCTCTAGGTGGAGGATAATGGATTGGTTAATAATTGATTCCATGACTTTACAGGTGACGCAGCATAAAGAGATTGGTCTGTAATTTTCAACTAGGCTGGGGTCTCCCTTTTTGAAGATGGGGATGACTGTGGCTTGTGACCATAGGTTAGGCAAGGAGCTGGTCCTGAAAGATTTTTCAAAGATTATGCTTAGATATTCAGCTATGGCAGTGGATAGCTTTTTTAAGAAGTAGGCACATATTCCATCCGGTCCAAAAGATAGAGATGGGTTTAGATTGCGTAGTGCTTTTTCAACATTGTCTTCTGTAAAATCAATATGTATTAGATCATTGTAGTTGTCTGTGGTTCAGCTAGGAAATACTGGGCATGATCCATTGCTGTTTACAAATACTGAGCTGAAGGATGTGTTAAAGATGTTGGCTTTAATGGTGTCGTCGTTGCAGTCTTTACCATTAGGTCCTATCGGGTGGGATGGACCTTGTGTCTTTTAGTTTGTTGTTTACAAAATTGTAAAAAGCGCGGGTGGAATTGGTGCATAGAAGGTTTTCCTCTTGTTTAATGTGATAATTGGTGCATTCAGTCTTTATCTGGTGGCATAAATTTTTGTATCGGCTTTTGAAATTGGCAACATGACCAGATTTGTTTTTCCACCAGAGTGATCTCTTTTTGGATTGAAGTTTCCTTATTGTTATGGGTAATCTGTTTTTTTTTGTTTTGTTTTGGGAGTTGTTGTTGGTACATATAGTTTGATGACTCTTTTGACTTCAAGTAAAAATATGTTGTAATAGTCTTCAACAGCATTGCATCCAGTGAATAGAGATTGCTAATCAAGGGATGAGAGATTGTTGTCTATAAGATCATAGTTGCCTTTTTTGAAGTTATAATTGGGGATTACATCATTGTGATGATTTTTGTTTGGGCGTATGTTGAGACAAAAGTCAATCATATTGTGGTCACTGCTGGAACAGGGTTCTTTAGTTTGTATTCTGTAAATTTAATTCAAACTATTGCAGAAGATGAGATCGAGGCAATTGTTTAGTCTATTGTTGTTGGTTACTAGTTGTTCCAGTCCCAGATTTGTAACAGCATTGTAGAAGGTTGCGTGTATGGGTTCAGTTGTACATTCATTTAGGGCCCAGTCAATATGAGGTAGATTGAAGTCACCAGGAAAGATAAAAGCATGTGGGCAGGATGCTGCCCATGTTAGTAGTGTATTTAGCTTGTTTACATGTTCGATGTCATAATCAGGTGCTATGCATGTACATGATTAATTTGAAAATATGCTAATTAGTAATCTGGTCTAGTGTTTCAATATTTGTTCATAATTACAGATTGGACATGTGTAAAAATGTCCTTTTGGGGGAAGTTATTACTTCTCTCCCTTTTGACATTCTCTGATAAATAAGCAGCGTTTAGACACCACAAAGGAAAGCAATTGGCTTATTTCTAACTGTGGTTCTTTATTAACAAATTCATTCCAAGTTTACATTGTCTATTATAAAGAACTGAAAATAGTCCACTTCTCTGAAGTTTGTTTCTGTGTAGCTTTTCTTGATCATTATAGCTTTCCATGGAAACTAATTGGGGAAGTATGGGAATTTCAATATTGGACATATGCAGGTAGAATAGAAGGAAAGGTCCCTATTAAATTCCTGCTTTTGGAATTTTCTTAATGAGACTTTAGCATAATAGCTATTCGTAAAACTTGTTTTTCTGGATCTTGTCCCCTATGGTAAAATAATCCCGGGAATCTTTCCCCCTCTTTTTGTTTTTTATTGCTAAAAAACACAAATATAGCATACCCTGTTAATCTGAAAGTTGAGATTGGTTACAGCAGTGGTCCCCAACCTTTTTTGTGCCACGGCCCGGTACCGGAATCACAAAATGATCTGTGGCCTGGTACCGGCATCAGCACGCATGACAAGGCAAGGCGAGCCGAGCGACTGGCCAGCCAGCCATCCCCCGCTTCTCCCCACCACCTTCAACTCCTCTTTTGTACCTTTTTTGTGCTTTCTTAATCTCCTCTGCCATCGGGACGGCTCTTCGTTCGAAGCCGCCCCCCCCCTTGATGAAACTAAGGCGCAAGGATTCCTTCAGGACCCAAACGCCGCTTTCCAACCGGAAAAGTTCACCCGGAAGCACTTTCTCATCGAAACAAGATGGCAGTGCCGGTAGAATTTGATCCACGAACCGGTAGTTGGGGACCCCTGGGTTACAGTACTTCAAAAGTTAGTTTTTAACAGCAGCACTGAAAGGTTTTAGCACATAGGAAAGAAGTGTTCCATATGGAAGAACTTAGTAGTTTTTATAATAGTATTTTAGATCAGTATTGTGTTCCTTCTGGTTAACATCTTTTAATATATGTTAAATCCTATGTATATACTGTATTTTGATGTGTGCATATATGGAAAAGAGGGCAAGTTCCCAATGTGTTAAAATCTGCACCTAGCAATTTTTTATTAGAACATAGCACATTGGAACATATTTTTAATAATTGTTGTAGTGTGTTTGCATCTAGAGCTCCTTTGTTTTTTCATGATTCCCTGTAGTTTACTACCCTTTAGCCAAGTTAGGAGGCCTTCCTGATATTGCATCTGTTATGTGAGCTACAGTATTGTTGTTTCCGGAATTGGATTTTAAATTCAACAATTAGCAAACAACACTATTAGCCTCAGGTAAATTTCCAAATGTGGTTAAAAACCATTCTCTTCCCCTTACAACAGCTGGTGGTGCATCTAATCCCATTTCATCTTTTATAGGGGAGTAGCATGTCATGTGAACCAATCAGCTAATGTAGTTGATGCATAGCTCTGTCCTTTTTCTTTAACTAGTTTCTGTTATTGTATCTGTCTAACATAGTGACAGATAATATTTGTGATCTGGCCAGTAAAGTTTTAAGTGTTTGTCATATTATTCCTAACAGTAGTGTAAAGGTTACAAAACTTTATTAACTTAATAAGAATCCACTGCCATAATGTATATTGGCATATACATTAAATATATAAGTTATCAAATGGTAGACAGGTTAAATCTCTCACTTGGCTATTTCCCAGCTGTGTTATTCCTGAACTTCTGCTAGGGAAATTAGATCTAATTTTTTTTTGTTTCTTTCTCTTTCCCTTGCTTTTCATATTACCACCTGCTGTGATGAAGCAGGCTGGAGAATCTTAAAGCTTCTGGCATTTGAATTAATATTGAATTTTTTTTTTTTAAAAAGATAAAATATTTTTTTCTAACTTTGAGATTATTTGTGAAATAAGCAAAGCAATTTTCACTGCTCTGAAGGAGGTTTAATTTGTGTTTGGAAGAATGTGTGACTTGGATTTATTACAATATATAATATGTTTTTTTGTTCTGCAAACTCATCATAAAAGAACTAGAAAAAGTAAGATTTAGTAATGTTTTGTTATTGCCACTTTATTCCAATAATTGATGAGACCAAAATATTGTATTCATGCTTACTAAAAAGATCCAGTAAACAAAACCTTGTTTACTGGATCTCAGTATAATGGATTTTGCATGTAACACACCAGATTTCTATTGTGATTTGCCCCCTTTGTGCAATAACACAATTACACAAAATATGCAAACTGGCAAAAATAATGTAAATCCTTATAATGCTCTAATTCCAATTTCAGCAGACTTTTCTTGGTATTGCATAGGCTCTCGCCCCAATAAGTCTGTTAAAGTGAGGTTTCATTGCAAACATAAAACAGACATGCTCTCTGCATTTCTCCAGTGAGCTAAAAAAAATATTTGACATAGCTCAGTTAAGTTAAATGTAGGAGACAAAATCTGGAGCCATTTATGTCCAAAGTTTGACTCAGAGATCTGTACAGAATGCTATGCATATTGAACTGAATCTCACTTTGACAAAATAAGTCACAAAGTGAAAAGTTTTTAACAATATTATTCCATTTTTATAATCTGTATATGTGTTCCATATATACACAATGTCATATTCATTTTATTAACTTAGTAAAATGTTATATATTTAATCAGATAATGATAGAAAATCTCTGAAAATATTTTGCAAAAGGAATAATCAGTTATTTAATAGTGATAATGGCAGGACCAACGTAATAAAAATAAATTCCCTGTTACTTAGCATGTTTACACATTTCTGTATTTATCTGAAGCTCTTTACAGATGCATAAACTTTAAAATAGATTTTTGTAATTTAAGAAAGGTTCCATGGATTTCAGTAACTTATAATTAAGAATTTTAGCTGGCTGCCCGCCTATACTGTTATGTACTTATCCCACTGACTTATGAAAGTATGCCAGAGTTCAGACAACCTTATTTTTAGGTTGTATCATTGACATCATTTAAAAACAAGCAATCATATATTTAAAGTAAATAAAATTACAGAAGAAATAAGTTGATGATTGGTTTATGATTCATCATGAAATTAAGTAAGAGGATAAATGGGGACAATATAAATGGTTTTTATATATAGGTTTCCAGAAAAATATAATTTTTAGATACAGTGATTAGTTTAAAATCATAAAACTTACTCATTGAAGTATGAATTCCAAATTTTGCTGACATTTCTGAATTTTGTTATGTTTTACTCAACTAGCTAATTTAAATTGTTTGTATCAGGTGTTTGTGAACATTCCCAAATACTCTTGTCTTTAAAAAGAAAACATTAGACAACACTTTGGAAATGTGTATTTATGTTAAATAGATCTTTTATTTGTTTTTTCCCCATAGTTTATTAACTTTTAAAGAAAATCAATCAATCAGTAAAAATGACAACTTCATGGAGTGACCGGCTACAAAATGCAGCAGATCTTCCTGCAAACATGGATGGCCATGCTCTGAAAAAGTACCGTCGGGAAGCATATCACCGGTAAGCTATTTCTACAGTTAGAAGCATTTCTTTACTATACTGAAGAAAAACTAAAATCCTAAATACCACATACATACAGATCTATTCGTTCACATAGCCTATTTTTAAGAAAGCAATTAGCATCCTTGAATGTTGCTAAAACTTGATTATGGGTTGAATGAGAGAAAATAAATGAAATTGCATCCAGACAAGATGGAGGTGCTGAAAGTTAACGAGAATCTGGATTTATTTTTATGTGGTTGCATTTCCCCAAAAAGAGCAGATTGGAATTTGCGAGTACTTCATGGACTTGGTGATAGTTATCCATAATCCTGGTTAATTCTCCTTTGAGCTGCGAGGATCATCCAGAGAGTGGGAGGTGCTTCAGTCCGTGTTGATTGTAGGCTGAGCTTAATTACTGAGGAACGCCCCTCCCTCCATCACGTGGCTCCATCAAGGCATTCCCCAGTTTATGCTTCGTGAGAGTTAGGTTTGCTTTAATTTTGTTTTTTTCCTTAGCCTCTGTGCAATCTGGCTGTGTCTCTAGAGAAAGGGGAGCGCGTTCCTTGCCCCCCCAGGGGGGAGAAAAACGGGCGGTATTGAGCGCTCTCGCGCTAACCCCCCCAGCCTCGATCTCAATTCCTGCCGCTTCCAGCCGCTCTATGTTAGCGGCTCGAACTGCTTGCGTTTTAAAGCGGCGCTGGTTCTTCCCCCCACATGAACGCCACGCCACCCCTATCGGCCTCCTAGCCTTGCCGGAGGGGCTCAATTCCGCCCTGAGCAGCCCCGACGTTAGACTGGTAGGCGGCCGCCATTTTGGGCACCGCCTCGTGGTCGGGAGCTAATCAATTCTCCGATCTCCATTCTGACCGCTGCGAGTGCTTTAGCTCGCCAGACAGGCTTCCCCAGCTTGTTCAGAGCCTCTCTTTCTCTTTGGTATCGTTGGCTATTCCGCATCAGCGCTCAGGGCAAAGTATAGCAGCACCCCTGGTACTCCCAGTTGTCGTCTGGGAGCAAAGCTGCTGGAGGCCTCATCTCTCCAACCCAGTGCCATAAAGAGGCATCAGGTGTTCATTTAACCAATTGGATAAGTTTTGCCTGGGTTGCCACAGATTGAGATCAGAATTTATGTGACCAAAATAAAAAATAAAATAAAAATAAATTATTAAAAATAAATAATAATATATGAATATATACACTGTATATACATAGACGTATATTTTTATATAGATAAACAATGCTCAGAGCATTACTAATAGTACAATGGCAAATGACCCTGTACTTCTAACATGCTAAGCATGTGCAACAATGAAACAAAAATGGAATCTAAATACATGGGAAAACCCTGTAATAATCATAATAATAATATCACATATTATTTACATCAAATTCCAAAAGGGGGATGCGGACCAGCCAAAAGGACACCCGGCCTTTTGTCGTAGGCCGAACCCTAGGCGAGCCAACCACCTCTATTATCCTTCTGTATGATCTTTACCTCTTAAAATGGCAGATGACAACTAAGGCCCTCCTTGAAGGCCAATTATAAGTCTCACCTTTTGCGCAGCCAGGCTAAGGAAACTTCAAAGGCCTCTGAGGAGCCCCTGTGGCACAGTGATGACAGTGCAATACTGCAAAGCTGTTCTGCAGCCAGCTGCCTATAGCTTGGCAGCTCGGGGCCCACTGGGCTCAAGGCTGATCCATCCTCCCAAGATGGGTAGAGTGAGGACCCAGATTGTTGGGGGCAATATGCTGACTCTGTGGACTGCTTACAGAGAGCTCTAAAGCACTACAATGTGATACATAAGCACTATTGCTGTATGAGACGCCTTAAGGCATCATAAGCATTGGAGAAGGAATTCCTCAGGTGATCCAGGGGGTCTCTCTCAGTGCCTCCAGCCCCCCTCCTCTCCTTCCACCTCTACTCACCCCCCCCTTCTTTCCAGATTATTCTTCCCTCCTCAGGCGCAGCTCTCCCCAGGGGCAGGAGGCCCTGGACCACCGACCAGACGGGCACTCGAAGCTACTCTTACTTCTACGGCCGCTGGTCTGTGCCAAGAGGAGCCGGACATAATCGAGATTCAAGAACAAATGAGGTCATGGATGGAGCTGGCTATCCGCCAGGGGGTTGCGGAAGGTCTCCAACAGATTTCCAGACCCGGCTTCCTCCCGATGACTCCCGAACACGAGTCGCCATCGGTCAGGTCCCCGCTTGGATCGGATCCTACCACAGTCAGGTACCTTACAGAGGGACTGTCCTCTTCCAGAAAGAGAACAGGGGGACGAGGAAGGTAACTAGATCAATTCAGGGAGGAGGAAGAATTCGAATTGGATCCATCTCATTGCAGTGAACCCCTGTCGGAAACGTCTACGGAGGGGGAGATGTCCCAGGATGAGGGTCTTACCCCCGACCGTTCCTCCTCGGTGAGCTCTTTCAAGCCACTCCTGTTCAAATTGCTTATCCTTAAGGCCCCAAAATAGCATCTCTGGCCTGTACACACAGTCTCCCTCTGCCCTCCCTTCCTCGGAGGAGGGTTCAGAGGATTCCAATTTTCAAGCAGCCCGTTGTGGAAGCCAAAGTGATTCCGGCTATGCCCCTCTTCTCTGACTTGGTTTAAAACAGCTGACCTCCACCAGGGCCTCCCCTGCCCCATCCAGCCAGGACAAGGGGTTTTTTATCCCCAATCCAGACTCCTCCAGTCCACCTAATACCCTCGAGGGGGATGAGCCCATTGTCGGCTTAGCATCCTCCTCCTCCCCTGTGATCCTCTGGAGGTTCTGTCAACCGAGGACAAGAGGTCTGAACTAGCCTTACGATACCGGGCTCTCCAAGCCTATGCTTGGGCCATCAGATCAGCTCTGCCGCTTCCCCTTTCACCGGGTCCTCGACCCGATGGATGCGTCAACTATAACAGCATGTGCCCTCATCCCATCAAGGGCTCATCAGGACATCGCTAACCTTACGGCGTGGCAGAATCCTCGGCCGTCGCCACCTACCATTCAGTTAAGTTCTCCAGTAGTGCCCTAACCTCTCTTGTCACAGCCCCCCCGGCCTACCCTGGCTCAAACACTGACAGGCGAATGTCAAACTACGTCTTGACTACTGCTCCCATCAAGGGAGACAAATCACCGGCTCAGCTCCGGAACCCCCGCTAGTTGAGCCCCGAAGCAAAAAAATCCTTCCCTCTCTCGTGGAGGCCAGAGCCCAGAGCCCCCAGCCATGTTGGAGAGGGTCCCCCGACCCTTCTACCAGCCTCTCTCCCCTCCCAGGTACCGATCCCCCCCTCCTTTCAGCCATTCCAAAGGATCAAGCCGATTCGGGCGACAGGAACAGAAGGGGTGGCACCCATAAGAGACCCCTCAGGGGATCAAGCGGAAGCCTCTTCTTGACGCCTTGGCTCAGAAACACACACCCCATCATACAGGCTATCCAACCCGTCCCACCCTCTCAACGAGGACAGCGCCTTTTGCTCCCAACTCTTGGGGTCCCCACTCTCTCAGGTGGATGGAGAACAATCCTAGACCTAAAACGACTTAATCTTTCCTGCCTCCGCAGGTTTAAGATGTACACCTTGCAGTCCTTCCTATTGGGTACCAGGCAAGGGGACCGGCTCTCTTCTATTGTTCTTCCAGAAGCGTTTCTACCCATCCCCTTCCGGGCTCTCCCCTCCAAATTCCGCAGGTTCTATTTCAACCTTCACCACTCTCATTATGTGGACCTCCCTTTGAGTTGATATCGGTCCCCTGAACCTTCTAAGGTGCTCGCGGCTCTAGTGGCTCCCCTCAGGAACCTCTCCGTTCGTCTCCACCTTTACCTCGGGGACTCCTCATCCTGCCCCACCTCAGACGTCCAGCAGAGAGGGACCCCAGAGCTCTCTCTCTTTCCCCCAAGACCATGGGCTCCTCGTAATCTGGCGAGCGCCAGCTGTCGCCATCTAACCGGATGAACCACCTCGAGCCCGTAATTCATTTGGTTAAAAGGAAAAAAAAAAAAAAGTTCTCTCCTCGGAGAGATTCCTTAGCATACAGGGATCCGTCAAACATATCCGGCGATCAAAAGGCAACACTATTAGAATTGTCTAAATTATTGGGTAGGCTGGTCTCAAGCATTTCTATTGTTCCCTGGGCCCGTTTTCTCACCAGAACCCCTCAGTGGTTCCTGCTCTCTTTCAAACGTCTGGTAGAAGTAATCCAAAAATCCACGCTCAGGGTCCCTCCCTCCAAGGGGCCTTACCCCTCTCCTCCAGCGGTCCATCCCCACCATCAACAAGGGCCACTACTTCAGGGAGCCCCAACAGTCCTCCCTCGCCACAGACGCCTGCCTGTCCGAATGGGGCACTCTATCCACTCGTTCGAAGGGCGCCGCTGGTGTAGTGGTATCATGCAAGATCCCCTCTCTCGGCACAAGGCAGATAGTCGGAGACAGAACGGGTATGCAATATAAATTGGTGGAACTCCACGCCATACTCCTGGCCCTGCGCAGCTTCCTCCCTCAGGTACGCGGGCGTCATGTCCTCCTCACCGTCAGCGTCACCGCCAAAGCTCACGTCTACAGACAAGGGGGCACCCAGACCACTCGTTTAATGAGAGAAGCCAAGCGCCTCTGCCACGGGGCGGAGCGCAATCTCCTCCCCCTTAAAGCAGAGCCATCTCAGGGGTGTTAATCACCAAAGCGGATTGGTTGAGCAGGGCCATGGTGGACCAATCCGAACGGCGCCTCCTCCCGTCTCTGTTCAAGGGGCGACCACAATCTTCGGCCTACCAATCGAGGATCTCTTCACATCCCCTTCAACACACCCCCCTGATTTTCCTCGAGGTTCCCCTCCCAAGGGGCCTAGAATCATGACGCCCTACGTTGCCCCCGGCTCCCAGGGCCCCCAGGCACATCCCCACTAGCACTAGTTTCCCAGAGTCATACAGAAGCTGATCCCGAGAACGCAGAACTGTCTCCGGTGGCTCTCTCTTGGCCCAGGCGCCCTTGGTTGGCGGCCCTCCACAACCTATCAGTAGCTCCTCTCTGGAAA